CATTGAAAGAACATTGATTTTTTTTTTTTAAGAATCACTCTTGTTTGTGAATTAATCAATCAGTCCAATTTGTGAACTGGATAACAAGTTCATTGAAAACAACCAGCACATAAAAACAATGTTTTGTCAAATATGTATGACCTCATAATTTTTAAAGGGTTAGTTCACCCAAAAATGAAAATTCTGTCATTAATTACTCACCCTCGTGTTGTTCCAAACCCGTAAGACCTTCGTTCATCTTCGGAACACAATTTAAGATATTGGCACGACAGTATCATGACGCGAGCGTGTGGCGGCGGTGACCCAGATCTGGCGTAATGATGTCATCTGGGTCATGCCAGATCTGGGTCAGCGCTACCACACGCTCGCGTCATGACACTGTCGTGAACCCGCGTCCACAAGTGACGCAGTAGGTCAAAATGTGGAATAAAGTCGTTATTTTTGTTTTCTTTGCGCAAAAAAGTATTCTCGTAGCTTCGTAACTTTACAGTTGAACCACTGATGTCACACGGACTACTTTGTCGATCTTTTCATTTTTGGGTGAACTAACCCTTTAAATAATATATCATAACTCAATCTTCCAGCTAAAACGAAAGACTTCTCTCATTTCGATAATTTTGCCCAATAAAATTCTGCCACTTTCTTACAATTAGCCTCAAGCTCACATTCAGATCTGCCTCCACCCAATCAACAACCGATGGATAAAAGCAAGTCCCACCCCACATTTCTTTCTTTTTGTATGTCACAATATTAATGAAAAGGCTCTGTCATTTATTTCATTATATATGACTATAAACGCATTGTAAGGGAACATTATCAGTACATCATAACTTTTATATTTATTAACATTTATATTTTTCCCTCACACAAACCGATCATATGACTTCAGAAAAGTCGAAATATAATGAATATAATGAGTCGTGGATTTCATACGTGGTGCATTTCTGTGGTTTCTTTGTCATGAGCTTAACTGCCGTAATATGAACTCCCATTGTATGAAAAAGAGCTGTCGTAAAGATTCTTAAATTCTCATTTTGCGCTCCACAGACAAAATAACAATATTAAGGACATGAGGGCGAGAAAATAAAGACAGAATTTTCACTTTAGGTTGAAATGATGTTACAAAAATAGCATGCTCAAGGAAGTACCTGCCCCTGCCTCACAGTTCACATCTTGTTTATGAAGAGAAGTGTTGTCCTCACAGTCCTTGTGTTTGTGCATGCTGACAAGTTGGTGATGAAATGCTCACTGTTTTCAGCTAAGAGTATTAGTAAATGCCTATTTTTCTATTTAAAGAGTAAGGTGGCTTCAGATTAGTCCCCCTTGTCATTGTACCAGCTCTCTTCCCGGCTTGGATTTGTAGAGTTCCCACAATTCCCATTTACTGCTGTTGTTCATTGTTTTGATCATTAAGCTCGTTTTCACTCCTTCACATACACATTTTCCAGTCTTTAGAAATGTACCTACTTATCTGTAGCTCTCACCCTCCTCAGATCATGATAAAAGCATCTGGGTGACAAATGCTTA